ACCCATGCAATACCTGACATTTCCTGCAGCCTTTAGCATCGCTTGCTATCGTTTCCTGACGTTCTTTCGTGTGTATTAACGGATATTTGCCGATCGACGTCACCTGGACACACCACACGTGTATTGTACGTTTCCAGACTTGGCCCGTCGGCACCTTTGATGTGTTTTTTATCGCTTCTCGGCCTTATGGCTAAGATCAAAGAGTCGTTCTTGTTCACAAAACTTGCTTTATAGTTTTGTATTCTACGGATTTTCGCCATTTTTGCCGTCTTTTGCTGATTTTTGCTGTTTGAACTTTGAAAATTTTTGTGGAGTTTGGAAGTTTTATACCTGGATTTTATTACCCTTTTTGGACGTTTTAGAAGTTTTACAGCCTTTTTTTGGTGAGTTTCGTTTTGTGGTTTTACTGACTTTACAACTAATTTTTCTAACACCTCGGGTGATTTCCGAGGTAGTTAGATGGGGGAGCCGTCCCCTTCAACGAGCTGTGCTTCTTCTATGGAGGCCCTAGGTGGCAAGGGGGGATCTCTTGTCATCCACGATGGGTCGGCCAATCAACGTTCCAGTCGACGTCTCGATGCGGCTGCAACCGATCCAGACGGTCTAATGGAAATGACACAAGGAATATCGATGGAAGAAGAAATTGAAAACGAAGAAGCTGAAAAGATAAAGAGATATTCTACAATTAAGTCGGTAAGAATCATCAGTCAAGAGCGAATAGAAACGTTGGAACTAATAAAGGCTTGTGAAGAGAAATTGAAGAAAGAAGGCTGTGTTCGACAAGTATGTTATCGCCCTAGAGGTGTTATTGAAGTGGGACTGTTGGAAGTGAAAGATAAAGAACGTTTGGTGGGACAGGAAGTCCAGGTTGGTAATAATAATTACATTATTGAAAGTTTAGAGGCGGATTTAATTACAATTACAATTAGATATGCCCCATACGAAGTAGATGAGGAATTAATTTATGAAATAATGGGAAAGTATGGGAAAGTAGTAAATGAGCGATTACAGTAATTGCAAGACATTAAGTTTAGAATTAGATTTAATTGTAATAACTATGAGATATGTACCTGTAGAAGTAGATGAGGAATTAATTTATGAAATAATGGGAAAGTATGGGAAAGTAGTAAATGAGCGATTACAGTAATTGCAAGACATTAAGTTTAGAATTAGATTTAATTGTAATAACTATGAGATATGTACCTGTAGAAGTAGATGAGGAATTAATTAAAGAAATTCTTGGAAAATATGGTAAAATTGTAAATGTTTATACGGGACTTCATAAAAATACTAATGTCAGAACGGGTGCATTTCGGGTGACTCTAATTACAAGAAAGAAAATACCTGTTTCAATGGAAATGTTAGGACGAAGAGTCCAAATATATTATGTAGGAAGTCGTAAAGAATGTTTCAAATGCGGAGATATTGAACATGAGGCGAGGGAATGTCCGGTAAAACTGTGTTTTAGGTGTGGGAGTAAGATGCATTTAGTTAAAGATTGTACTGTATGTTATAGCTGCAAAAAATATCATGATAAGGGAGATAAATGTCCAATTCCAACTTTTGCAGAAATTTGTAAGGTGGGACCTCGTAAACATAGTTTAGAACGAAAACGTGAAAAAAGCTTAGATAGGTGGAAAAAAGAAAAAATTAATGAACAAACTAAAGAAATTGATAGACAAATACAACAGGAGAAAGAGATAGAGGAGTGTACAATATCGGAAGCATTGGTTATAGTAGAAAGAATTGATAAAAAAGAGAGTCATGGAAATGAGGGAGAGATTAGTAAAGTGAAAGATATAGTGAAAGGAATAGAGGGAGAAAAAGAAGTAGATTTAAGACAGAGTAGACGAAGAAAGAGAAGTGCTAGTTATGATCCGTATAAGATTATAAATGATATTAATAATGATATGTCATTAAGTATAGAACAAAGGGCAGCTAAAATAAATAGAATACAAAGGGAGAATAAACAGTGGATATTAGAAGAAAATTTGAGAATTGGAAAACAAATGAGTCAGTCACAACATAGAAAAGATTATGGCTAATACACAAAAAATTAATATCAGATTTGTAAATATTTCTGGCTTGAGGGATCAGTGTAAACAGATTTATTTGGTAAATTTAGTTATAACTAATGATATTGACGTGTTGGGAATCCAGGACACAAACGTGAGAGATTTGGATGATGTTAAAAAGTTACGGAGAATTTTCACACATTATAATATATATGCATCGTTTGCGATAAGAAGGAGTACAGGCGTGGTTTTAATGATAAAAAAGAATATAACTGTACAGGACTTCAAAACCGATAGTGATGGTCGGATTATTGCGGTAGATGTTGATATTAGAGATCGGTATTTTAGATTAATTAGTATGTATGCACCAACTCGAGTCTTTGAGCGTAAAGAATTTTTTAGAAATTTAACTGATTTTTTAAGGGTTGGGAGGGAGATAATTTTATTTGGAGATTTTAATTGTGTTTTAGATTCTATTGATAAGAACGGGCCTATAATGTATGATAGCTCGAGAAATATTTTGAGACGAATTTTAGATGATTTTAAACTTTATGATGTTTTTAGATTTTATTATCCGTGTTATCCGGGGTTTACATGGGAAGGGCGCGGTGTAAAGGAACGTTTGGATCGTGTTTACCTATCTGATACTGTTGCTGGAAAAATTGATATTAAATGTTACGGTGTAGAAACAGAAAATAGAAGATTGACAGATCACAAAATGGTAGATTTAAGTATTGATTTGGTAGGGAAAATAAAGAAAGAAAAAAGGATAAAAATAACTAAGGAAATATTAGAGGATGAAGTGTTTGTAAATAAAACAAAACAATTAATCGATAATAGGAAGGAAAATATAGATTGGAAAGGATGGGTTGATTTAAAAGAAAGTATAAATAAAGAAGTGGAAAAGGTATGGAAAAGACATAAAAAGGAAAAATTTGTTAAGATAAAAAGACTGCAGAGAGAGTTATCAAATGCAATTATAACTGAGAGTAAAGAGCAAATAGATAAGATAGAAAAGGAAATTATACAAGAGTTAGATAATAAAAATAAAGAGAACTATATACGACATAAATTGAACAGATGTAGTATTAAAAGGGAAGCTGAACGTGCAGTTTTTGAAAAAAGAGGAAAATTTAAGGAGAGTTTAGAAATAGAAAGTATTATAGATGAATTTGGAAATAAGATTATACATAATGAAGAGATAATTGATAAATTCCACTCTTATTATACATACCTTTTTAAGGATCTGCAAACTGATGACACGTTAGAAGAAGATGTGCTTAAAGGGATACAACCTATAAAAGATAAAATGAATAATGTTATAAATCGAGAAATTACTAAAAGCGAGATAGATGAAGCGATCCAAAGCTTAAATAATCATAAAGCGCCTGGGAGAGACTGTATTAATTCGGAATTTTTTAAGTTTTTTAAAGGGGATTTTATCGATTTATTATACAGTTTATACAATTTTACCGATTTTAGTGACATTTTTTGTCATGGTAAGATGATTTTATTTAAAAAGAATGATAACACGGATAAAGGGGTTGGGGATTTTAGACCTATCACGCTTTTAAACATGGATTACAAGATATATAGTACAATTGTAGCGAAAAGACTCGAGTTAATATTTAAAAATATTATTGGTAATACACAGAGTGCTGGGGTTAAAGATAGAACGATACAAAACAATATTACTTTCCTTAGATTGTTACAAGATTATTATAAGGAAAGAGGGGCCACACTATCCCTCCTATCTATAGATGTAAAACGTGCCTTTGACACAGTTAATAGAAGAGTTCTTTGGCAAATTTTGGATAGATATGGTTTTAATGATAGTGAGATTTGGTTTATAAAAAGGCTATATCAGGCACCAAGTACAAGAATTGTTATAAATGGTGAAAGCTCAAACGATATTGAGTGTAAAATAGGAGTACGTCAGGGTTGTCCGACTTCGATGATCTTATTTACAATATACATTGAAACATTATTGATTAATGTTAAAAATGACAGTTTAATAGAGTCTATTTACATTCCTGGAATGGTAGAAAAAGTAAATTATATTAGTCATGCAGACGACATTACGTTTTTGATTGTCGATCTTTTAAGTTTACATCGGATATTTATAAATTTACAACTTTTTAGTGAATATACAGGAATGACGATAAATAAGAGTAAATGTAAGATAATGGATGTCGTGGGAGACATCGGGACAATGCAAAATGAAATAGAACGAGTTGATACTTTAAAATTACTTGGTGTTTGGTATGGTAGGAATGAAAAGAATAATAATTTACATGAAATGACGACAAAAATTAAAAACGAAATCAATAGCTGGGCAGAAAATTGGCTATATATGTCGGAAAGAGTTCAAGTAGTGAATAGAGTAATTGTGCCAAAGATAATATATAAATTGTATATTACAAATTTGAATAAATATGATATAAAAGAAATAGAAAAGGATATATATACATATATTTGGAATAATACTTTTGAACCGCTAAGTCGGAAAATTATGAGAAATGATGTTAATGAAGGAGGATGGGGAGTGTGGGACCTCAAAGATTTTGAGTTTTCATTACAATTAAGTGTCATTATTAACATATTACGAGAGAAAAATCATCCATTGTATTATATAGTAAGATATATTATAGGACCGATCTCTAGATATATTACTCAGCTGGAGACAAATTTCCCATTTATAATGTCGAATAAACGAAAATATAGAAAATGGAGAGAACTTTTAAGAATGATTATAAATGAATATAGTGATACGTTTGACTTTAATAGAAAAATAAGACCGAGTCGGATATACGCGATTATTCATAAGCAACATATAAATAGCAACATGATAAACAGTAATTTAGATTGGGCTAAAATTTGGAAAAATATTTTTAGTCTTCCAGCTGAGTGGCTTGAAACATCATGGCGTATATTATCGAATGTAATTATGAGTAAAGAATACTTACGCTTGTATCACAGAGTTAGGGATGAAAGATGTAGTAGGTGTGGAAATGTTGAGTCTATTGTTCATATATTTTTTGAGTGTGCTATTGCTAGATCGGTATGGTCCTGGGTTTCCAAGGTCTGGAAAATAAAAATAGAATGGAAACATGTAAAATATCAGATTGATTTAACTATAAGAAATCAAAATGTATACCTTTTAAATTGTTGTGTTGCTTTGGTAAAAAGGATGCTTTGGAAATGTAGATGTCTTCTGACTTTTGAGCGAAGATTATGGAATGCATCTTTATTGATAACGAAAATTAAGCAAGAGTTATGTTATAAAATATGCAGTGATTATAAAAAGATGAATGAACAAGAATTAAATGTATATTATAGAGGATCTGAGCTAATCTTTATGATATATGATGATAAAATTGTATTTAACGACGAGAGGCGATGATTTTAATTTTAATGTGTTTATTAACATTGTTTTTTTGTAAAACTGTTTATTAGTTTAGTGTTTATTAACAAATTGTATTTTACTGTTTGTTTTTTAAATTTTGATGTTTTATTGTTTTAAATTTTTGCATTCTATATTGAATTTTTAATTTTATAGTTCTTTTGCATATTTATTGATGTTTTGTAAATTTTTGAAATTATGCATGTGTATACAAATTTTTACCCTATTGTTAAAGGGTTTATTTTTTGTACATTCAAATATGTTGTCGGGTTTTGTTTATATGTATTTTTACTGAGTTTTTTGTCGGGTTTTGTTCTCATGTAACCTTATTTACTATATTGTCGGGTTTGTACTGTTGTAAATAACCTTTTTTGTGGTGGTGTGGTCTTACTTCATTGCAGTGCCATGCGTGTTGCACAGTTTGCACGGGAAGGTTTTTCTCTTATAAACAGCATGCGCGATATAACATGCTGTAATCGCTCTACACTGGCATCTGGCTTAATGAAGGAAAAACGATTGGAAATAGTGCTAAGTCGTTATACAAACTTTGAAACCACAGTATCTGTTCTTATCAGCTTGATATCTGATACGGTCTCCATCGGAGACCTTCGATATTAACCTGATTTTTGGAACGGGGCGGGAAAGGGGGCTTGCTCCCTCCCCGCCGCGGGTTGCTCTGGCCTGGCACTTATTGCCAGAGATAGCCCACCCCCCTTTGGGGGGAAATAAATAATAAAAGATAGAGAAATTAATTATTGAAGAAAAAAATTTTTTTTCTTTTTCCAGTTGGTTGTCATTCACGGAAGATGCCAGAGGAGCGATTACAGTAATTGCAAGACATTCTCCAAGCGAGGATTAGCAGGAAAAAGAAATGTGGCGAATTGCAGAAGAAAAGGTAAGAGAAAATGCGGATGGCGATAAACCGCCATCGCCGCATACTTCCGGTACGCTACGATGAATCTGAGCGATGCGAGAAAGACGTTCCCGTGCTGTTGGTCGTTATCGCTAATCGGCGATTCGAAGTTATTGAAGAAAAATGAAATGTGCAATTTTTTCAGAGTGTGACTACTGTGGACAACACGCACGGCCTGCACGTAGAAGACCCAGGCACCCCAGGAAAGGTAAGCCTCACTCTTTACATTGAAGAAATGAAGTAGCGCGACATTTTTCTAAAATAACGGATAAAAGCGAATTGTTTCAAAATTATTGCATGGAATATATTGTAATATCGAATCGGCAAATATTCTACGTTACATACAGAAATTTCTAATGTATTTTGCTAGCGAAAAAATATTTAGCATCGAAATGCTATCAGTATTCGACCGACGCAACGCTGGTACGGGCTGCGGCATAATTTCCTCCTGTGATGATTGGTGACCAACAGGAGTTTTATGCCGTTGTCAGGCAACACCCATGCAATACCTGACATTTCCTGTAGCCTTTAGCATCGTCTGCTATCGTTTCCTGACGTTCTTTCGTGTGTATTAACGGATATTTGCCGATCGACGTCACCTGGACACACCACACGTGTATTGTACGTTTCCAGACTTGGCCCGTCGGCACCTTTGATGTGTTTTTTATCGCTTCTCGGCCTTATGGCTAAGACCAATATATTGTTATTGTTCATCGTTATTTCTATTTATTATAGTGTTCCCAGGAAAATACCCGAACATCGGAAAAATTTTATGGTGTGGAATTGGAATTTGGTGAGTGTATTTATTCTGACTTTGATTAACTTTGGCTAACCCGGCGATTAGAGCCGGAGATATCGTTCGAGACTGGCAGGAGCCAGAACTTCGAGTCAAGCAGCAGACTGTAAGGCAGCAACTGGGATGGAGACATCTGAAGCTGATGATGACTTGACGGGATTAACTTCTTGGACGACGTCTCCCGATCCGAGAGAAGGAACGTCAACGATGTTTTCTGCTATTGACGATAAAGAAGAAGAAGAAGAAGTCGAAGATTCTGAAAAGAAAAATGAAGAAATTAATTTTGAAATTCGAACAGTTCGAGTTTATGTGAAAGATCAAATAGAAAAGCCAAATGTTCAAGATTTAGTTCATGAGATTACATCGATGATAGAGGGCGTTGGAAGGGTAGAACAAATTTGTTTTATGCCTGGCAGAGTGATAGAGATTGGATTGACAACAGTAGCTGCAAAAAATAAATTAATAGGAGAAGAAATACAGATTAAGGGTAATAATTGTATAATAGAGAGCACTGAAAGAGAGCTAGTTCGTTTGACATTAAGGTATGTGCCTACGGAAATTAACGAAAAAGGTTTAACAAAAATTTTAGAAAAATTTGGAAAAGTTGTAAAAATTACTGCAGATAATTTTGGAGGATTACCTGTGATAAAGACAGGAACTTATAGAATAAATATTCTTAAACGAATTAATATACCGAACTATCTAGAGATACTTGGCAAGAAGGTACTAGTGTTTTATAAGGGTATGGAGGAGGAATGTAGAAGATGTGGTGGTAAAGATCATAAAATAAAGGATTGTGTAGTAAAGTTGTGCCATAGATGTAAATCTAAGTATCATTTGATAAGAGATTGTCCAGCATGTGTTAAATGTCAAAAAGAACACACTGGAAATAAATGTCCGGAGAAAACATTTGCAGAAATAGTTAAAAATAGACCAAGGACAATTAGTGAAAGAGAGAGAGAGAAAAAAGAGAAGGAAGAAAAAGAACAAAGAAATGATGTAAATGAAGTGGCAGGAAACAGAATAGAAAAGGATAAAAGTACTCGGATAGTGAAACCTATTATAGAAGGATTTGAAAGTTTAAATAGAGAGAAGAGAAATGAAAAAACTAAAGTAAAACAAAAAGATAATAAAGAAAGTGATGAGGAAGAGGAAATGGTGGAAGTAATGGAAACACAGGTGATAGAAGAAAAGAAGGCAAAAAGAAAAAGGGTAGTTGAGGAACAGGAGAGTGCAGTAAAAGAGAAAGTAGGCAAAACACAAAAAAGTTTAGATAATGGATAGAAAACTTAAGATAAGTACTATGAATGTAACAGGTTTTCGAAGTGCTGAAAAAAGGTTTGCTGTATTAAATGTAACTAGAATGGAGGATTTTGATATTATTGGATTGCAGGATACAAATGTGAGGAATATGGATGATGTGAGAGAGTTCAGAAGAATATTTAAAAATTATAATGTGTATGCTTCCTTCTCAATTAGACGAAGTACAGGAGTGGTAACCATGATAAATAAGAGAGTAAAAACACAGGACTTTCGTACAGATAGTGAAGGTAGGATCCTCCAGGTGGATGTGAGTATTGGTGGCAGGCTCTTGAGAATTGTAAATATTTATGCATATACAGATATAATTAGAAGGAAGGAACTTTTTGGCAAGGTGAGAAATCTATTTGTTACTTTTAGAAAAGTAGTTGTACTTGGTGATTTTAATAATGTCTTAATGGCATTAGATAAGAATGGTATTATGTTTTCTGACGGGTCGAGAAAAGTTTTAGAAAAGGTGATAAATGATTTTAAATTAGTTGATGTTTATAGATATACTTATCCTTGCGACCCGGGTTATACTTGGGAAGGCCGAGGAGTGCAGGAAAGGTTAGACAGAATTTATGCACAAATGGAAATAGGAAAAATAAGTAGTGTAATTAAATATAAAATAAAAAGTAAGAAAGGATGTATCTCCGACCATAGTATGTTAGAAGTAGTTTTTGATATGAGAATGGACCCTGTCATTCGAAGGAAAGCTAAAGTTAGTAATGAGATATTGAATGACTCTGAGTTCCAAGACGTGGTAAAGGTATTAATTGATGAGAAAAAGGAAAACATAGATTGGAATAAATGGGTGGAAATAAAAAAGAAAATAGTAGAGTTAATTGAAAAAACATGGGAAAGGAAAAGAAAAGAAAAATTTAATAAAGTAAAAAAATTACAAAGAGAGTTATCTAAGTTAATAATTAATAATATAAATAATAGAAATAAGGAAAAGATAAAACAAATAGAAAAAGAAATAGAGAAAGAAATAGATGCAAAACAAAAAGATAATTATATTAGATATAAATTAGAAAAGCTACGTCTTGGAAGGGAGAGTGAGAGAAGAGTTTTTGAAAAGAAAATTAAAATTAAGGAAAAATTAGGAGTAAAACAAATAAATAAAAATAATGAGATTATTACTGATAAAAGTGATATAATAAATGAATTTAAAATTTATTATGAGAATTTATTTGATGAAAGGGTCTATGATAGTAATTTGTGGCTGCACTTTGAAAAATTTGTTAAGCCAATTAAAAGTAGTAATGATAATAATTTAAATAAAGAAATAACAAAACAAGAAATTATGGAAGCTATGGAGGAGATACATACTAATAAGGCATCAGGGATTGACGGCCTTCCGGGAGAATTATATAAGTACTTTAATTGTTATTTTTGTGAAATATTTTATAAATTGTATAATATGGAAAACTTTAGTGAAAGTTTTAGTCAAGGAAAAATGGTTTTTATTCCTAAGAAAGATACTGGGGAAGGAGGAGTAGGAGATTTTAGACCTCTCACCTTGTTAAATATTGATTATAAATTATATAGTATTATTATTGGTAGAAGGTTAAATAAGTTATTTATGGAAGAGATTGCGAGCACCCAAAGTGCAGGGGTGCAAGGTAGAATAATTCAGGAAAATATTGTTCTCTTGAATTTAATTTGTGAAATATATAAGATAAGAGGGAATCCCATATCTGTCTTATCGATAGATTTCATGAAGGCCTTTGACACAGTCCATAGACAGG